TTATGTGGGTCTGGGGGGTGCAAATCGGGTTCCTTCTCCAGGTCCACAGGGCCTGGGTCGAATGCAGGGTAACACAGAGGATCGGCCACCCCCCTATATGATTGTGCTGGTGGCCATGGCTGATTGCTTTTGTCCCCCTGAAGATCTCAGGCTATTTTTAAGGTGACCCTGATCTGCCAGCAGGTGGTCACGTGTTTTACTGTGCCTGTATCACCGTCCACCATCGCCTCCTTAAGGTTCTTTCCAAGTTCTTCCTACACCTCTCACTGGAGTGTGCCTTCCTTCGGGAAAGTAGGTGTCTTCTTCCGAACCCACTCTAGTAGAGTGACTAAATCACTCTGGGAAACCTGCCGATTTTCTTTGTGCACCATGCGCTGCAGCTCGTCCAAGCTGCGTTTCTGTCCTTGAGAGATTCGGCCTTCCATGGTTCCCAGGCCGCTCACCTCTAATTAGGCAATGGGTGCACACGGGAGTTCTTCCTGCTCCGTTCCTGGTTCAGCTGGGCTACACTGCCCGGTTTGGACTTTGTGAGCTTCCCCTATGTTCTTGCCCCAACTTTGGGGGCCATTTGCAGTGTCTGAAGCAATCACGAACTTCAATGTTGTGAAACCAAAGACTTTTATTTACACACAACTTATACAGCTCCAGACCACGGAGACAGCTCCCATCTTGCCTGGCAGCATGTTAAGCCCCAAACCCATCCAGCCCATCAACAAGATGATCACGCGCTGATCACACTTGAGGCTGTCCGGTGAGTTCCTTGATCATGCGCTGGCCAGGTGGCTGCAGTTCCTGCCTCTCCTTCTCAGCCCCCCAGTCTGCCGAGGGGACATTCTTTGCTACTTACCTTAGGCTGACCTTCACAGGTGGTGACTTGTGTCTGGGGCCAGGGCACTGCTCTTTCCTAGAGTCTCTCCTGTGAAAGCACTGCAGGAGCAAGCAGACCCCGGAGAACATCCTTGCCCATGTTCTTGGGACCAACAACAGGGTCCCTTCTGCGTGAGAATGGGACATGGCAGCAGCAGGGCCATGGCTGCCATTAGTACTCTGAAGTCATTTCTGCCTGAGAAGCTGATAACCCCAAACTTGTGACTCTGAGGACACTTATTGCTCTGGATAGGCCAGAGGGGGCTCTTAGCTCCCTCTGTTGTGATGTGATGTCACCTCAGTGTCCGGTGGTGACAAGCCAGAAAAGGCCCATGGCTTGGGCGTTGGTTATGTTGGCCTTTGTGCATCAGGACCTGGCAGGCCAGCAGCAGGCCCATGGCCTGGATGTTGGTAGTGAGGTTACTGCTGTGCCTGTTCCTGATAGGCCCAAAGAAGTGACATGGCTCTGATGGTGACTGTGAGGTCACATCCTTCTCTGTAGACCTGACACCATCAGCAGGCTCTGGGTTGCTGAAGTTTCTTGTGATGTCACCTCTGTCCCTGCTGCTTATAGTCCAGAGCCGATTGAAGGTTCCAGGTCACGTTGTGAGATCACTCCTGCCACGTGTGGGATTGGTCGGCAGCAGGACCAGCACGAGCCAAGGGCCTGTGAGGTCCCCTCAGTGTGAGCCGCTGATCAGAGGGCCGGGCTGTGACATTGGCTGTGAGGACATGTCTGTCTGTGCAGAGGACAGGCCAGAAACACGCTGGCCATGCAGGGCTGTCCTCAGAGTGAGTCCTGGAGATGGAGAAGGAGCAGCAGGCGAATGGCTGCTCCTCATCCATGGGCGGGATCCCTGGAGCGCAGGGGCGCACGAGGGAGGTGAGCAGTTGGGCTGGAGGGAGAAGTGGGTGGCAGGGATGGGACCCACGTGGAGAGCACGAGGGTGGTGGGGAAGGAGATCGGGCCAATATAGGCAGGCAGGAGCTTCTCCAGCGAGGGGGCACGTATTCCTGGCCATGGGCATTTCCTCTCACACAAAGCAGACCAACGGGCACTCTCTCCTGTACCTGACGCTGGTTCAGGAAGAACAAGGTGCCACTGAAGATGTCCATGGCCTTGACAGCCTTCGATGCAACCACCCAGAGGTCCTCATTACCTGTTCATCTCATGTGATGGTATGAAGAGAAGTTCAGGGGAGGAGAGCTAGAAGGGTTTGAGATGGCAGAGACTGGAGCAGAGACGTGGCAGGGCAGGGGTGCCTCCCATTTATGCAGCACACTGGGGGATGGGCTTCCCCTACAGCCAGTGTGTTTGGGTACAGGACAGAAATGCAGGATGCCCTGGGGCACTTGCCCAGCCATCAGTCCAAGAGGGCATGGTTTTCCTGTAGGTCACCTGCTGTATCTACTAGAGACACGTGGTTGTGCTGGATACCCCAGGCATCTGACAAGACCCTGCCAGCACTTTTCTATGCCATCAAATCAAGACTCTGCACTGAATTACAAGAGCTGCTGGTTAATCCTGCAATCATCTGTGCCTCAACTTCCTAGGGAGTAGGGCTGTCATTGTAGTTGGCATCTGGGGTCATTTCAGATGGCCAAGGCAATTCCCCACCTGGACTCCAACTCGTGCTCTAGGATGATGTAGGTTCCCAATAGCTCCATCATAGCAAGCAGGCACTGGCACATGCCTTGGACCTCCTCAGTCTCTTCCAGTGTCACCAGGTGTTTCTGTGAGAGCTATTGACTCTCACCCTGCATCTCCAGTGATTGTAGTGGAGCTTTGAGAAGGAGCTCGTGTGCAGATCTCTGTGCTCTGCTCACTTCAGTTTGGCAAGGGGAATCCCACCACTCGTGTGTTTGTGGAGCTTACAGGA